TGGGTTGCTATCTGAAGAATATTTTGCCTATGTTGCTCTAAACATGGTTGTTTCAAATTTAGAGTAAACTGTTAATATAAGAAATGAGTCAGTTCTGCAGTGCTTGAGCTAGTAGTATATCAAGTGAAAACAAACTTACCTCTGTTCTTTTTGCAGGTAAAAAACTGGGTTAAGGAATTAAGAAAAATGTTGGGAAATGAAATCTGTTTATGTATAGTAGGTAAGTCTTTTTTTTGACATGTGATTCTAATGACTGAATCAGAAATGTTTCTCTTGATTAATAGCATCTTCCAAACACTGCTTTGACAGCTTGTACATGTGAAGAGGTAAAGCTTATGTTAATTTGACATTTAAAATTCAGTTGGAGCTAGAATTTTCCAGTAGATCACATTAAGGAAAATAAGAGTTTGTTTGGCAAAACAAGTTGTTTAATGATACACCATGTCAGAAGTGCATGGCACAGACACCTGCAGACTGCAGTTTAACAAAGAGAAACAAAACATAAACCTCAAATGTGTCAAACCCTTCTTGCATGCACTCAAACTTCATGTTCTTTACTGTTCTTAGTGGCATAGACTGGATGCTTGTCTGTTTTCATGATCAAGTGCTTGGGGGGTGGAATGAGTCTTAAAGCTTGGATATTTCAATGCAAACAGAATGCAACAGAATTACTGGCTTTAGATTTAAAATTGTGTCTAGTGATTAGAACATGTTCAGGAGGATAGACGTATGGATATTTTACAAAGACTACCTCTGCAGCACAGATAAGCTGCCTGATAAATTACAAAAGAAAAGCAGAAGGCTGAATTAGTGGCTTATATGGAAGTATTTAGCTATCCTGATCTTTACAGAAGTAGAACTTCATCTTCATTGCCTGTTGTGTGAAAGGGGATTCTTAAATCATTGTTGTGCTCCAAATTGACACCTATGTAAGACTTGGTCTTTACTGGGACAGCTTGTAAGAAAATGATGGGGTAGAATGATTACATGACTGCTTTCTTTTGGTTAATTTTGGAGCACAAAGACTTAAACGATTAATTTATTTCCAACAGGTAACAAAATAGACTTGGAAAAAGAGAGACACGTTTCAGTGCAAGAAGCAGAAACGTAAGTCACACCAATTATTAATAGAAACAGTCATTGCAGAATTATGCTGGAGTAATAAACTTGTGATTCTGTTAACAAATGGCAAACAAACCAGCAGTGCCTAGCTGGCTGCTGTGTTAAGTGTTCTGTTGGTATGAGTCCCAGAATGTCCTTACTGACCAAAGCGTAACTTGAGAGTTGTATGTAATTAAAGTCAACGTTTGCAGTTTAAATGAATTTCTAGACATGAAATTTTCATTACTTCATCTAGTGTTTTTCATGAATCGTGGCAGTTTTAACCACATAATTCCCTTTTTACATTAAATCAGCATGTGTAGATTAACTCTGAACTCTTGTGACCATCTCTTTGCTTCATGTAAAGTGGCTTGGAAAGATTGAGTCCTTCAGTACAATACAAGGAAGTTCTGTATCTGCATTCCTACAGGTATGCTGAATCTGTTGGAGCAAAACATTATCACACTTCAGCTAAACAGAACAAAGGAATTGAAGAACTGTTTCTTGACCTTTGTAAAAGTAGGTATTATCTAGTTTGGTGAAGAGCTCATTCACAAAATGCTCAAGGCTTCAGGATGCTTACAACCATCTAGAAAAGCTTTAATGTAAACTATTATGAAGAACTGACTTCATCTGAGTCTGCTTCAAACCACCTGTGTGCTGTAACAGCTATGGAAACTTGATGTGTGAATGCTTACAATATTGCAAATTCACACTTTACTTCAAAAATGTCTTTTTGTCACTCTGGGCCACTCACTGCTGTTTCACTTGGCATGCACAAATAGTAACTTCAAATCAAACTTCATGTGACTGGTCTTGCTATTGTCTGCTTCAAACACTGTTTCAATGATGTTGATTACAAATCATAAACTCAGGGTTGCAATGATGCAAACTTTACACAGCAGTCTACGCAAACGGTAAAGATCATGGAACGTAGGATAAAGATGTGGTAACACGGGGAAGTTGTCCTAATTGCTGTGTTCTTACAAGAATTTCAGGAAAACTTCACCTGTGTATCTGTAGGGTAGGCTGTTGATTTTGGAGGGGGTGGGCTGGTATTCGTGTTGTGTGTGGGTTCTTATTTTTATTTAACAGAATGCTCTTGTAATGGGTGGGTAAATCTGGCTTTTTGAAGTCACTAGGTCCAGAATATCTGAGTGTCTATGGTCTCCCTTAGTCAACAGGAGCTGCTGGATGTTTGGTGCTTTAGGAAGAAGATTTAAGTATGTTATTGCAGCTATGCCATGTGATACCAGAGTACTTACTTCTGCATAATAAATGGGAGAACCAGTCTTGCTGAATGTTCTCTCTGTGCCTATAACTTGAAGTAGATTAAGATTCTCAAAGTCTTGTGTGACAATGCAGTGGAATGTTATCTAATACCTTTTTTTCCTTTACAGGAATGATAGAAACTGCTCAAGTGGATGAAAGAGCAAGAGGCAATGGTTCCAGTCAGTCAGGAGCAGCAAGGCGAGGTGTACAGATCATTGATGATGAACCACAAGTACAGAGCAGTGGAGGGTGCTGTTCTTCTGGATAACTATAAAACTGTGCATCACTGCCCTCTCAATTTGAAGACTGCCATATTCCAAGTCACGCATTCTTTACCAATGGAGTAATAGAATTAACAGTATTTAAAAATAATCACATGTAACACTGCAGAGACCTTAAGTGCTAAACTAGTGGCGTCTGTGACCAGAGAATTGGCGTTTTCTACAGTGGTTAACAAAGCAATTACCAATGGCCTTTTTACATATTTTTCTTTAATGAGGAATAATATGCATGTAGAAAAGACCTACTTAAAGGCTTCATTTATATTCTTTTAAATCAGATCATTATTTAATAACTTATATACATGTTGTTGGAATGGTATACGTTTTTGCAGCTCTTTGTATTTTGTGGTAGATTGAATTGTATCACTTCTAAAATGCAAACTGATTTTTTTTTTTAAATTAGCAGATATCTGAAGTAATATTTTTGCAGGGCCTCTACAAGCCTATAACTGTCAACTACTTTGATATATTCTGTTCATCCTGTATGCCAAGCTGGTAAAATACATTGTAAATTACATATTAAATATTTTATCTGCTTTTACAATTGCAGGTGCAGAAATATGTACATCAGTCTTGTCAGTGATTGTGAAGTGACTAAGTCAGTGAAAGGTGCAAGCTTTTCATGTGTATTGTTGACTTGCTCGTTCTATTCCCCCTACCTTGAAAACAGCTTTTTTTGTTACATCCGTAGCTACAGCATTTTTTAAGCCTTTTCTGGCAAGTAGCAGTATTTAGAGTACCTCCTTAGTGGGAAGGGAATGCTTCCTTTGACTGCTGTTTAACATTGAGGTGTTTGACTCCCAGCTAAAACAGTTGGTGCATGCATATCTCTTGCCTCTGCAGTTACTTTGGCCTCAGAATATCCCCAGAAAGTCTGTCTGGTAGTCAATAAACCAGATGCATGGGAAACTCTTAAGCTGCGTTAATACATTTGTGTCTCAAGACAGCATTATAAATTATTAATGAGCATAATTTTTTTTCCCCTAGTATTGCAGGGCTTGAATGAACAAATGAATTGGCGTTAACTAGAGCTGCTTCTGATTTGGAGTGATGAAGTGGAAGATATGAAACTTACCAGATGTAATTGTAACTTTTGGGATACTAGACAGAACTGAACTTAGTCCTGACTTGCTCTTTCTCTTGTAAGGCATTTTGAAGCCCATTTAAGTTTTGGGAGGAGGGTTTTCAGAAACAACATGTATAAACTACTATCACAAAAGAACACAAATGGTGGTAGCTGAAACTTCAAAATGTTTTGTGCTCTGACTTTTTTTTTTTTTACTTTAAGTTGTCATGCTTGGAATAACAGTAAAGGTGATGTCTATGACAAAATAGAATATTCCTTGGCCTTCCTTTTTCTGAAGGGTACAATTAGTATTGCATATGAATGCATTGAATGGTGTGGGTATATTTTGATGCAGAAAAGGGGTAACAGTAACTAATCAGTCTGTGTAAGAGAAGTGTGCTGTCTCAATATGATTTTTATTTTCTCTGAAATAATAGATGGCTTTGATACAGACTGGTCCTGGTGCACTTTTCCCTTTCTGTCTAAACTGTGGTGTAGATGCTTTCTCTTAAGCTACCATTGCTGTGCTCTTCTGACATGGGTGTATGTGTGTTGAACAAAGGTGACTTGTTCATGCTAGTGAAGATAAAGTTTCTTGACTGCACATAGCTTTGGTGTGAATATAAAATTCATGATTATATGCCTGTATATGTAGCAACACCATTAACATTCTCATATCTAACTTAACGGTAAGCCTTGCCAAAGTTGAAAAACAGGTCAGTTTGATTTAAAACCAATACCTTCAAATCCATACAGTTAGATGAAAGTCAGTCTTGTAAGTGGTACAATATTGATATGAGGAGTGAAACTAGTAAGACTATATGTTCAAGACTGTTGAAGCTGTGCAGTTTGATTGGACTTTATGGAACTTAAAACCTGTGCTTAGCAAGGTATCATTATATTACTTTTCAAAAGAAGTATAGCTTCATGAAGTCGGGGAAGTTGACTTCCAAGACACAAGTGAAAACATTATGGATTATTTAGACTGATTAACATAAGACTTCAGCTATTCATTGTTAGCAGACAAAATACAACAGCTCCAGGAAAAATCATCTTTACTGAAGATATCTAGAGAGTTCTTTGCATTAAATATGTAGGAAAGCACAGATAGCTTTGTTTTCTGTATTTGATCAGGATCTTGCTCAGTAACCCAGTATTACTACTGTGTGATTTGGTTTTCAGGAGCCTTGCGTTTGCTGGAATCTGTCTAGATTGCCTGGTTTGTGTGTTAAGGAAAACTGTTTTCTTGTTGGTAGCTGCTGCTGCTGCAAACTAGTAAGCTATTTTTTCATTCTTCTGAGAACAGTGCAAGAGAACAACTACATCTGTCTTTAGAAAGTACTTCTATTGTGGGATAGATGATACCAGCCAGACACCTGCTACAGCATGTGAGTCAACGTTGGGCACACTTCCTCAGAGTAAATCTTGACAAACATCAGTAAGTTAGACCTTTTTTATTATAGTATATGAGTACAAATATGTTTCTAAAACAACTGTAAGTACTTGCTCACAGATTTGATGCTGCTGCTATGAATACTTGAGCTACCTATGAAACTATCACCTGCTCAAATAAAATCTAACAAACCAAAGTCCAAAAACTTCAATGCAGCAGTGTGTATCTATTTGTTATGGACACTGTCTTACTGCACTTAGGCTATAGTTCAAAAGTTATAAAAGACCAGATAGACTGATTCAGACAAGGAAACTCAAATTCAGATGTGTAGTACTTGGAGATGAGAGTAACTAGCTGTAAAGGTTGGGGATGACGACTTTGATTTGCAGTGAACTCTCATATGATTACAAGATGGGGACATGCAATGTTCAGATGAACTGCATTGGTTGGTCTCTTGAGGCAATTAAGTAATTGACTGTTGCCTTTAATACATGCTGTTCTTCAATGTTCACACATCATGGACAGGCACTCTTGCTTGCTACCATATTAAAAGTATTTCTTTGCCTTCTTTATCCTGCTACTTTTATTGTTCTAGGTGTTTAACTGGTATGTTTGCCTACCGCTCTTGCAGAAACCTAGTATTTCAACTTCTACTTTAGATTCCAGATGAAAAAAGCTTTGCAGAAAGGTTTGAGGTCACAGAAGCTGGTTAGAGCTCAAATGGAGTTCTCTGAAAATGTTGGATGCTGTCAGGAAAAAAAAGTTTAAAGAAGGTAAGAGGAACAGGAGTCCTGCTTGAGGACAAATGGAGCTCAAGAATCTCAACAAGCTGAAAGCAGTTAAGTGGTATGAATGATAAGAGTATGGGAATAAGAGTTGGAGCCAGCCACCTCTTTATTTTCCTGCCTTTTGTGGAAGGAAAAGGAGAAGTAGAAAGAAAAAGGCAAGTAGGAAAAACTAAAGGTACTGGTAGTGGGCTGCTGAGTGAGGTGTAAAAGGCAAGTAGGAAAAACTAAAGGTAGGGGGCTGCTGAGTGAGGTGCTAAGTTAACCATTTCTTGGTGGAGTTGCTAGTGTGTCATATCAACAATGGTAGTTGCCTAATTTAAGACTTTTCTAAGATTACTTGCTAGGTTGTTTTTCCTTCTGTGAAATACTATTTTTGCTTCACTAAAGAGAAGACAATTAGCTTTGAACAGGTTTTCAGACACAATACTAACCTATTTAAAACTTGATTAGAATATGCTAGTTTATAAGCATTACAGTTAACTGACTTTGTTAACCTTAGTTTGCATCAAACCTTAGGAATTTTTTTTCCTGACTCTTCAGGAAATGTATCTTTTCATGAAGATAACTTTTACTGCAGTTGTGTTAAGGAGTTGCAGATGAAGGGAGAGATCCTTGGCACTAGTTGCTTCATAAGCTCAACAAAGATAGCCCCAAAGCTAGCTCGCTTTGTGCTGGGTGCTGGTGCTCATGCTACCCTTTGGGGGATTTTGCTCAACACCAGGATTTTTCCTCTATTTAGGACCAACATGTGCGTCTTGATGATGTAGTCATCTACTGAATTTAGACTTTTTCTATGAAATAATAACAATGTATACTCTTCCCTCTTGCATTTCTGGAGCTGTCATTTGCCACTGTATTGAGCAGAATGAGATGGAGAAGCAGTTTTGAGAGTTGTGGAGAATGTGAAATGTTTCTTGTCTTGAGTTGGCTTGAAAAGTAAGAATCTATGAAACTGTCACCATTATGACAAAGGTATTATTCTGTGCAAGATAACTGAAAAGATTTTGCTTTGGAAGATGTTTTACTGTAGTCTGATTAAAAATACAAATTGCTCTACTTCCAAAATGAACATTTATTTGAAACTGATCTCTTCTGATTCTTAATGTTTTCAAAGACTTAAGTTTATGAAACAAGGCCAAAACCTTCAATTGATTGGTATGTTCTACAACCCTAAACCAATGTCTATGACAGTAGGGAGGAGCTGTGTACTCATATTCCACTGGACATTTTGGAGCTTCGATTGTATTTATTCAATACCAGGCTATTGAAAGATAAGACTGCAAAAAATAACTGTTTCCATCTATTTCCACTGCTTTGCATGTGCAGGCAAGCAGCATGACCTGATACAGCTGCATAGTGAACATGAAGAGGGCTTCTGTCCCTCTTGTCCTGCTTGTTGGTTGAGTGGATCCTCACTTTTAATGAATTAGTTCTACAGGAAACTTTCTTTGCTGGAGATCCCCCTGCACAAGAAAGTTCTCTGCTTGCTTCTCTGGCTCTTCTATACAGTGGTAACTACTACAGCAGTAATACCCAGTTCCTCCCAGTCTGAGAACTTCCTGCCCCCCATGAAGAGCTTTTTGTATTTCTTGACAGGTCATTTTTTTCAGTGTATCTAGTTTCACTGATCTCTTGCAAGGGGTTTAAGACTTCATTGTAGGTCACCTAGAAGCAATGCAATTTGAAAGTATGACAACAAAGGATGATGACTAGCAGTGTTGCAACAATCTTCCCCAGCAATTGGTTGTATCCTGCCTCCAAACCAGTGAGGGGAGAGTATTTGAAGTTTGGCAAGTCCTTGCTACCTCTGGTACCTGACTTCTGGTTCTTGGACAGTGGAAGTGACTTAAAAGAAATCCAGGTAGAGCGGATTGGTGACAGCAAGGACTTCTTTCTTATCTGTTGCCAAGTAGTTGGTAACGGATCTCTCTTGAGCTGTTGAAACTGTTAAATTAGAGATCCTTCTTGAAGTTAACCATCACTCCATTCTGAAAGATCCGCAATTTTGGACTCACAGTGGAAGCAAGCAAGTATTTTCTGTTTTTCAGAACAGGAAACTTAAGAAACTGCCCAATCAGGCTTTACTTACTGGAAAGGGGAGAGTGCTTGGTACCTGAAGATTTAAGTGTCATCAGTGGTATTTGATCATATGGGCATTGTAATGATTGTCTTATTGGATTTTTCTCATCAAATAAGCTCATTGAGCTTATCAGGCACAATCAATAGAAACTTTTCTTTGAACCCAGAGAAGATGTTAGCAGGCCAAAAGCTAACACTGAAAAGGACACAGTATTTTTAATATTGGGTAACTTTACATTGTCAAATGTAGGAATATGCCTATTTGGCATTGCTGGATAAAAGAAACTTTGAAAAAAAACACATGGAAAAATAGTATCTAGCAGAGCCTTCACAAACCTTACTTTTCCCAGTGCATTGCTGCAGATGGAGTTCTTAAATACATCCCAGAGTATTTTATATACCAGTGTGTTTACATGAAGATAGTTCTGTGACAAATTAATTCCAATCAACTAGAGAAACAAGAACTTCTTTAGCATGACTGCTCTTCTATCAGTGCCTAATATTAAAAGTGGAAATGCATGTAAGTGGAAATGGATCAATAGAAAGGGGGGGGAAAAAATGTGTACTGAAAATCAGTACAAGAAAACAGAGCTGGGAACTCTTGTTACTGTCATATCTGAAAAATGTTATGTTACATTTTAGTAA